CGCCCATCATAAAATAAACCAAACCGAATTCAAGTTGTTTCACAGCCTTTTGAAGTCTTGGTGGTAAATATTCTCTGTCCCGTTTCTCTTTGGTAACAACGAAAACGGAATTTGTCGATGGCCACACGTCTTAGTGGTCTTCGAGTGACATTTTAACTTTGCCAATGCCAATAACAGGACAGAGAGTAACAATAAAAAAGAGGCGGGAATGAAACCGATGACATAGCTAATATTTAGGATGTCATTAGAGTTAACATAAAACGGAGTGCCGACGACCAGAAATCGTCTCAAAAAACGAAGAAATTGTATCACAGAACACCTTTGAAAACAATCAGAGATAGTACTTTTTAAAACAAAAACAGCAAATAGATTATTTATCTAAATAACAGGTGTATTAAGACGTTTTTCTGATACGGTCGGGACATCCGTATTCTGTTACGTGGTGATAATCTGTGGATCAAAAGTTTGTTACTATTAGTTTTTTTTTAATACCTAGCCGTAGAGAATATATTGTCAGCGAAGGTAGAGTGGTTATGGCAGCCACGAAGTGAGTCATATAAAACCTTTGATCCTACAGTCCCACATTCAAGATAATTATAACGTTGTTTAGATCTTAGCCTCTCTATTTTCAGTCTCAGGGAATGTATCTTGGTTAGTCTCTTCGTTGCCTTACAGTTATGTTCTTCGCGTCGAACTTTTATAAACATCGTAAAAAATATTTTGAAAGAAAACATTTCAATTTTTTTTTGTCGTTTTCAATATGACAGGAGCCTACGAGTACTTAGTACTAACTATATGAAGCGTTATACTTATTTTTGTCTAAGTTTTATTCGATTATATTTGATAGCATATTGCAGGTCGCTATTGGCGTGCCTATCGTCTGATTTGTACACTATTTCAAAGGCGTGTTATACGGTATCACATATTTGTGCGTGACAACATTTATATTTCACCGCTTGGCACCTCGCGTTCGCTAGGAAAACGATCGCTTGGAATAATGACGCATTTCAAATCTTTTCGTGTAATAATGGATGGCAAAACAACGGTCGATCGGACAAACAAGCTAATGCGAACAAATCCAAGATTTTATATGCAATAGCATGTTAAAGTTATAGAGATTCAAGAATTTGAGCCTAAAATTAACCAACTTTAACACAAAAACAAAGGAAATTTGTAAAAAAAAAAATAAAAACCTCACCTTTCTTTAATATTAATAAAAAAATTCTGCCATTCTCTTGGCTAGAAGTCAGGATAGTCTTGCACATAAAAATGGGCATTCAATAGAGTCATTATTCCAATGTTATTATATACTGAACAGAGTAGCTTTGGGGACGGATAGAACTGCATCCAAGAGTTAAAACGCAAGGCGCGTATTATTCGGATTTTTGTATAAATGCGTCGCGGTGAGAGTTGAGACAAATATTTGAATTTTCGGACAACTACAGGCAAACAACTTGAAAAACCCAAGCATAAATACTTTAAGATTATATTGTTTTATCACAATCTTTCGATCTCAACATATTTTCAAATGTCATTCATATTACAATTGTTTTACAAAAATAGTGGATCGTCGTTTCGATGACAACGCTGAGCAACCTTTTCGATACGAGGGCCGCACCAAATAATTTGTCCGGTCAAAACTTTGTGTCTATATAGAATAAAATAATACACAATTATTTTACACATTTTAATGTAAATTAAATTCGTTTAATATAGGTAGCTTTTCTGCGAAGTAACACAAGGCGTTTTGCATTGTTGATAGTGTGTAAAAAGAATTTGGTATTATAATTATCGACAGGCCGTGGGTTGCTCACCTCTGATCTAAAGTTTTTATATATTTTTAAACACATCTGTCTCTCTTTGACCCACTGCTATCCATGTATACGTCTCAACTCACCCCGTACTTTGTACCTAAATAATATCGTTTGAGAAAAGTGGCACGTTACCGTATTTGATACAGTCGAGATTTCCTCTTAAAGCTATAGTGTTGATATTAGATTATAATATGTATTCGTAATACTTGGTTAGTTTGTGCTTCTTTACCGCGGGCACACGCGTCGAGAGGCCGTCTCTTTCACGACAGGGAGCAGTTAATGGGAGAGAAAGAGATAGATAGAATCCAAAAGCTAAAACTATGGCATCTAGTGTGAGCTATTTAAATAATTAGGATTCCGTATTAATTCTAATCGTGTTCTATATGAACAACATTAACTAAAGAATATATAAAAAGTCATATTCAATTGTATTCATAGTTTCCAGTTCTCTCATATTAAAATAAGAATGCATTTAACAAATGTAGCGTCAGCAACGAAAATAACAATACCATTTTTTTATGCTTGTCATGTCATTCTAACGATATTTCCTCTATAAAATTTGGCACTGAAATTAGCTAAAGATACGTGTAGCATCCATCTGCTGGTTTGACCCACCACCCCTGTCGTCAAAGTCCAGCCATATACAAAGCCCAACGATCTGACTAGATGTTTAAAGTCGCACTTCGCAGCGCCGAAGCTTTTTTTGATATTTACAAAATGGCGACTGTTTTTATTTACAGTGATTAATTTTCATATGCTTTTTAAGTCGCCGAAGGCTATGCTATCTTGTGTTACAAAATACAATACTTTGTATTAATATCTCTAAGTGATGTATAGTTGCGAATAATAAAACATTCCATTAAACGCGAAATAAATACTTATAGCCCCCTGGCTATGTGAACATGTCGGTTTTTTAATTAAAAATCAGAAATATCTTTCGCTTTTTAAACAATTAGAAGTGCTTTATTAAATTTAGAATGAATGATATTCAGAATTTTTTTCTGGAATATGGGAAAATTTAGTTTGAGTAAAGATGGTTATACAGTATAATGACGAAACATCAAGGTGCATTTTTGAATTACGAAGAACAAACACCTAGAAAACCCAAGTTGCAATATATAATTTGGTACATGGAAAATATTACTTTGTATTAAAATTATGTAACACAAGACACAGCCTAAATCGCACTAGCCTCTGCTCTTAACATATATTCGTCAATTTGTGCGATCGTCCGCTTCGGCGCGTCGAAGCCTTTTACGTTCTCTAAGATTTCATTTCCGTAACTAGGCGATAAATTCGTGATTTTTGAGAGATGTTGCCAGGAAACATATCATTCGGCGTTTCTCAATATTCCTTATACATATTATAGAACACTACAAATAAAACAATTCACAATCCGTAGTCGCAAACTGAGCATGCGAAACAAACAATCCCATTTGCCCAATTTGGGGCTTGGGGCGTCTCTTTGAACGATTTTATTAGACAGGCAAATAATTAATTCGATTTCGGTGGCCCCCCCCCCATAAAAAAAAAAACTTTTTCCGGATGAAAAAAACTTACGTTTTGCCAGTGGATCAAGGAGGATACTGAGAGTGAAGAATTTGTTAACACCGGAAAAACTTATTAACACGTAAAATTCTGCTTAGCAAAATTCCTTTTAGATTGAAAATTAAATATCTGTCATAATAGATATGTTTAAATAAACAATCTAACGTAATTTATAAGTACACACACCGCTTCGGATAGTTAAACCCTGAGTCATTCCCATGACTTATTTAAAGACTAAATCCCACCAAGTTGCATTGGACCAGCGCGTTGGATCATAGTTGAGACCCTCTACCCTTAAGACCCATATTTTTGGGACGCCAGTCGACAATAAATTTTGGGGGGGGAGGGGGGTTTGTTAGGGTAAGAAACCTTTCAAGTTTCATTTCTAATCTAACTAATCACGACTAATTTGCGACTACGGACTGCCGTTGATAAATCTGTTTTGAGAATTGACATTAAATTGCAACATTGCCTACGTTCGGTGCAGACGATAATAATTCTTTTTAAAGCTATATACACGCGTCACGACATCTAGACATAAATATTTCGCGTCTAAGTGCTTTATACGCATTTAGTGATCGTACGTACTACAAATCAGGAACTTCTGTTGAACGAAAATCGATTAGGCCTTAAGTATCGGTTTTAAAACATATCGGCAACCAAATACTCTCGAAACGAAAGGCTTATACCTAGGGATTCACGTGAACCGAATTTTAGTATGTACAGCAAAATATATATACCGGATGAATTATTAATGATACAATTTTGAAGTTCAAAGTGAAAGAAAATAAGTAATAAATACAAACAAGTTTTGCAAGTAAAGAAGAAGAATAGACTAGCATGGGGTTACTTGATGGAACATTAAATACCCCAGCCATATAACATCTTAACAAGATGTGCTGTTGACCCATTTTGGTTATATATTCGCGCACATAGGTATGTATAAATTATAAAAGAGAATATTCTGAAACCCACAAGAAACACCTTACAAGTTTTAACTGTAAAACTAAGTTTCATTCACTTTCTTGCGTGTTATTCAGTAGATTTAGATAAAAAATTTATATGTCAACATCGAAACTGAATTATCTATAATAAATTGTTTTTTTTACGCACCTAATCAAAAAGTTTGAATAAAATTTGAATATAATGTGTAAAATGTAAATAAATTATTGCTAAATTGATTTCACGACACAATTATTTGGATTTCGATAACTGTGGACATAATTTTCTAAGTTAAATTTCAGTACGCCCATATAAGGACTATTTCAATGTAAGAATATATTGTAACACGTTATATATAGATTATTGGATTAGTAAATATAGTTTAAGTAGTTTTATCATCTTCAATAGTTGGTCTAGAAAGTCAGAGTTGCAATAAATGTTGAATACTTAAGTTCTTCGCTTAAGCACTGGTATGTTCTATATTCAACTTAACCTGGAAATAATCTAATTTATACGTTATTGTGAAGAGCTAGAGCCAATATTAATATTGAATTGTATTATTTTGTGATCTTATGCCAAGTTGAGTATAGAAACCAGGCAATACTCAAACACCTTGATATATGACGGTGGTGTCAATTCCCTACAGCATTGGGTCTGCTGAAACGGTGTTTTGATGATGTGGAGGGTCCCGATGCTCTACACAGATTGTAACCTGAAACATTTAAGAATAGAATATGAATAATTTAAAACATTCTTAAGGATAGTACTCGTGACAGTAGCGCACAAGACGTCGGTTTTTCTTTTAATCACTGTTTGGTGGCGGTAGAGGTAAAACCAAGCACAATACCCACTGGTAGATTAAAAAATAAAACTATATATAACTATATATTTGAACGCATCCGTAGCCAAATGTTTAAACTCTTTGCTTAGTATTGCGTTAAGGACGAGCGGTTCTGGGTTCAAATTCCTGGAAAACTGTTTTACTCAGGCAGAGCACAGAAGTCTGATTAACTACTTGCTTGTAAAGCAACCGATTAGTGAAATGAAAACAAATGTGTTCGCCCTATGCTCCACGGGGAGAAACACGATTTCACTACTGTATAAATTGTACATATGCTTCGCAGTGATATTAGAAGAAAAAAAATTGACGTTCATAGGAGGTATTATTATAACTAGAATTCTTAAAGCCTTTTTCATCACGATCACGAAATACAACAAAATTGAAAAAACTATATTAAAAGCAGGTGTTTTTTTTAAAACTCATAAGAGTTAGTATTATACTCTGTTAAAAGTGTGCATATTCTCCATGTTTATTATAATATACTTTTTCCCACATTTCCCACTGTTTCTCCGCTCCTATTGGATGATTGGCCTGTTGTTATAGAGCCTAGTGTCCTCGTAAAACGGTGCAACCAACACTAATTATTTTTCAACTCGAACTAGTTTCCGAGATTAGCGCGTTCAAACAAACAAGGTCTGGCTTTAATAGTATTGATTGGGTACTTACAGCGGCGACTTAGTCATCTCGTACGCAATATAGTCTGCGCGATCCTTAGGCGAAGCGCCGCGTTTGAGAGCACGGGGTAGCTCGGCGTACGCACTTGGGACCCATTTGAATTCGATGTCTTTGTTTATTTTCTGTAACATATGGGCGAGTGGACACTGCACAGTATGTTAAATAGATATGTTCGGGGAATATATTATCAGATGTGTCCCGGCCCATGATCTAGTTTGTGGCTAGTGCCTGAAGCAAATTATTAACTCAAATACACGTAAATAATAATTATCATATATATAATGGTTGATAATTAACGGATCATCCTATTTCCAAATATTAATGTCTACCATATCGAAAGCTAAACTAGTTTGTTTGCAAAAAAAAGATCAACAGCGCATCTTTTTAGGCATTATTTGGCTGAAGCATCATAAAAACCACTTTAAAAGAAGAGTTTTTGGGCTAGACTAGTTCTTTAAACTCAACTCACCCTAACATACTCGTTATCCAGTACAGCAAGGTTATCCGAAGCGAGGACTCGCATTACGTTGCTGCCGCAGAAGCCGTACTGGTCCTGACGGCCGTACACAGCCGACACGTCGAAGTGCTCCAACGACCTGCGCAGGCGCAACATACCTGCCACGTCGTATTGCCACAGCCAGTAACCTGGTGAAATATACAAATTTTTTCATTTTTAGAAATTTTCAATAATAAAGAAGAACAGCTGTAGGAACAATTAGAGAAATATATTTATATAAAAGTAGTAAAACCGTAACAAGAGAATATTGTTCTTATCGCACATGCAACGCAACGCACATTAAACATGTTGCCTAGCATTGCGTTAAACACGGACCTGCGTTAGAATCGGACACAGATGTGTTATCCGTGGTTCACATCCATCCCCCATGGTGGAAACGGGATATACTTTTTAGGTAGACAATACTACACTTTTAAACATACCATGTATAACCAATCTTCTTAGGTGAACACATTGCCAACATAAAAGTAGGATGTGATTGACGCACATGTCCTCCTGAAAAAGAAAAAGCAATAAAATAATTCGACTGGCTCCTTGCTCTCGGATGACAGCAATGTATGGCTAATAATATAATCGAATAATCAAAGCTCGGTTCAATACCATCAGATCCAATATGTTTCTAAAACATAAATATTTTTTTAGTGACATGTTGAAATTTGAATGTAATATCGAAATTACGTCCGGGTGACGAATTACCATTTACAAAAAAGGCAGAATAGTCTTAAGTTGTTATATGGCGTGGGCACCTAGTATCAAGTAGACCCCTTGCTTCTTTGTCTTCCTCTATAATAAAAAATCTGACGACAAATCAATTATTTCCTAAAAGTACAAACAGTAAAGCATTATACATTAGACTTTGAGAAATGATTCTCGGCGTTTCGCTCAACAAAAATATGGCTTTCTAATCAAATTTCATAAATAGTTTTTTTTTTATTTCATCTTCTTTCATTGCATCACTAACCGATTTAGGTTCTACGATACGATGGCTAGGCGCGTTGGTGTCAGCCGGCGCATCGACCCAGACCAGTTCTTGAAGGGTCCTCTTGTATAAACGGGATATATACGACAATAACGGAATGTGAAACTGAAAACAAGTTTTCAAAATTAATTTAGCAAAGGGTTTTGTTTTAATTGAAAAATAGACATGGAGAAATAATCCACATTTCTGTCTCGTTCTCATTGTTCTAATATTTATAGATTAAGTCTTAGCACCGTAGGATAGTACAGATTGAAACTTACAGTTTTACAGAACATGACTTTAAGTGAGACCAACTGGAGATCTTCCACTAGGACTTGCTTCATGATTTCGTAGAAGCGATGCGCAGGCACTGAAATCTGAAGTTAGAATGTGTTTACCATATTTATACATTACTACTGGTTCTTTTATATATTATGCAATCACTTAAGAAAGAAAGAAAGAAATTCTGCAATAAAAAAAGTATTTATTCAGGTAACAGATTTTTTTCATGCTATTTTAAGAAACGATGTTTTTTCTGCTTTAATTCGTCTATACTAATATTACAAAGGTGAAGAGTTTCTCTGTTTGTTAAAACAGGCTAAACTCAAACTCGTTCAATGAAATTGTATTGAATACCATTTATCGAGGAAGGCTATAAAACATCACGCTAAGACTAATAGGAGCGAGTGGAAAATGTAGAGAATATTAGTAATCTTTGAAAAATCGCGCTGTGAAAGCGGTATAACAAATAATTTATGTGACAGAATGTCTATCTTAAGATCAACGCAAATAACTTTAGCAACAAGAACTTTTTTATGATAATACAATTTAGTCGAAATTAATGAATTATGATTTTATTTGTTACTATTATCATTTGTTACAATTGTATCAACAAGATAATTATCAATAACACTTTACGTTTCTCGCTTTTCACTTACAATGTTAATGGCCACTTTGAGAGACTGTGGCGGCCATTCCAGACGCGGTATCTCCTGCTTGTGTCCGATATTCAAGGTGAGGAGAGAGAGATGAGGCAGTTGAGTGAGCGTATCTATGGTCCCTGGACTGAGGTACTCGTAGTCTATAACTATGTTCTGTGAAAATGTGAATTGGGTGTTATATGAGTACGTTTGACGGGCTCTTTGATCTAATGGTACCAATATAATATGGATACTATGAATGGTCCAACATTTTTATAATACATTTTAAATTTTTCCTAGAAAATATTGGGACTTCGTCTTGATATCTGGTTATTACATGGGTGGTAAAAAATAAACAGAGTATGTAGGAGTTAATAGTTAAATAAAAGAAGCATACTACATTTGACCCGGTCAAACGTCGTTTGTTTGAGTATAGTAAACCTTTACACAGAAATGAATACCACACTGACCTGCAGCGTGGAGAACATCATCAGCTCTACATTCCGTCTGGTCAGGATAGTGTCGTCCAGAGATGGCACCGTGCTGAAAGACAGCGGTGGCCGCGAATACTGCTCCAAGTGTTTGTGCTGAAACATATCCATGTTTAAATTCAAATTACATACTTTTAATTTGTACAACATTTTATTCGGTTATATCTATTGAAATGAGAGTTTGTGAAAGTGAAACTTACTCGTGTATCTAAACGCTAGAGATAAAGATCACGAAAACAATGAATAGTAATGAACACGTTAAAGTAAAGCAAACGAAATGTACTAGTAAATCTTAATTACAAATCATGATGACTGCTTTGCAGCCGCCGTGGTTACGCCGAGACTCCAAAACGTCGGGCCGTAGTTATAAGTTTCACTATTATATTTCCCATTTAAAACCGTTATAGTGTTTTATTTATCTGTACTATTCGCGCAATCTACAGACATTATTTAACAAGGTTACATAACGTTTGAAAACTTTATTATTTTTTGCATGTTGTTGCACATGAAGGCACTATATAACTTAAAAATTAAAAATTATTTTTTGACTCGGTGCCGGTTCATGTTCTGCCCGAGTTGAATTTTTTTTTATATATTTTACGATACAGAAATTAATGTAATAAAAATCAATTTTACGTATTATTTATAATAAATTGTTCTTAAACATTCTGGTGTATTTTTATAATATAAGGTAGGTTTTAAAGCACTGTAAATAGTTTAAATCACTCACGACAAATCGATCGTTGTCGTTCTTCGGTGTTGCCATCTCGCAGCCCAAAAGTATCAGCCTCTGCAGGCTATGGCGGTGTTTGAAGATGAGGCTCTCTACAATTATTCTGGAATTAAGCAGAACGATAAATTGGGATACAAATTCGTTATATTTAAGTAATGAATTTCTTAGTGTAATTATAAGAGCTAGTAAGGTTTTTTAATTGACACTTTTTTCTTTAATGTAAGCCTAATTTGAGGCCCCTAGAGGCAGAGCAATTTTATAACTTGACTTATTTATATCTTCATAGTCTAATAATGTTATCTTTTTCACTTAAATAGTACAAATTCATTTTTGCCTATGTTGAATGCGCATTTTTATAGAAATTCATGTTTTTATTTTATTAGGCCACTCTGGCTCTAGCAGCCTCAATTTACCCTCATGTTTTGTCCACTCACCGTTTCAATTCCGCTGTTGGCGTATAATACCTACTTGCATAACTTGGCCCAATGAAAGCCAGCTCGTTTAAGGACATCGTTTCGAAAAATCTGAAAAAATATTGCAGTTTCATCAGTCTATACGAATAAGAACAGTGAGATAATGTGTTTAAAAACTTTTTAATATTTTTCACATGTACATAATGGCATTATATAATTGAAAAAAAAAATATTATAAATTTTCAAAAACTACGACAGCGTTTCGTACTGTGCTTCAATTTATTATCAGATTTTAAATTTAAGGGCGAAATTGTTTGGACGTTCAGAAATCCAGAGGAGAAATGTTATACTTCATGGCTTTTCCTTTGTGTACAGTGGATGGTACCCTGACGGATGTTCGATATACCTTCCATCAAATTCAACGCAATAAGTGCACCGTGTATCACTAGATTGACAAGTTCAATAATAACTTGTAGGGTCAGGTTAGAGCAGCAGCACCCAACACTGTGGATGCCCGTTCAAGTCGCGCGTGGGTCGTATATTTTTTATCTACATAGATTTTTAATTAAATCAAAGAAGCAATCATATAGACTATTAATACTGAATCTGGTGTTACCTTAAACTAAATAAATTTTTAAAATTAAAAAAGTAGCTCAATACCTACCATCCATTTACATCAAACATGTTACATTATGCTACAGAAAATTAAATTGATTTTAGTAACATGTCAGACCCGCTGGGAATCAAACCCACGTCTAATACCATTGGACTAAGTCCGTAACTAAGCCTTTTCAAATCATAATGTAGCTTAACACTGTTGCATAATAATGTTCGCTCGGCTCGAAAGTGAATTTATTCTAATATATGTGCATTCGTGTATACCGTTTTGTTGGGAAATAGATGCTGGATGAATTTCTTTCTGAACTAGGCCATAGTATATACTTTTATTTAACCAAGTGAAACAAGAATTTGGTACAGCGTAGCGTGTTTATGTTCCAAGAGGGCAGACATACATGAGGTTCTATATCTAATTTGACTTTCTTTTTCTTTTCCCAGAATTTGAACCAGCACCTGGATGAACTTCACCCATACTTCACTGTCTTTCTTAAACATTACAGAGGCGTATAGCAGCTGTGAATCGTTACTCTCTACAGTGATCTCTTAGGCTGACAATAGATATCAGAAATTCCTTAAATAATTCTTCATCCTGTCTGTAGGTTACGTAGTCGTAGTTTAGAATTATTTTTAACTACGGCCCGACGTTTCGGGTGCTTTGCAGCAGCCGTAATCTCCCCGTGTTAAATATTTCTTCATGTTTTGACTGACGTTTTACACTTACTATGATTCTTATTTGAAACATTTATAGATTTTGGACATTGTATAAATTAAACTCCTATTTAAATAATAATAAAACGTACATGACACACGATTATAAATTGGAAAGATGCAGCTTGAGGTCCTGCCCGAGTCATATTTTTAAAAATTGATTCTTAATTTATATAATGTTTGCGGATGCACAAACGGTTAGTTTCCACGCCATCATCTGCAAGCGTGTACTTCCTTCAAGTATTGAGTTCGGCAAAGCACCAATGGCATTCTGGGGGCATTATGTGAGTACACAGGCTGCAAAAACGATGGAGAGGCGTCCATGCTCCCCCTTAGCGCCTTAGCGCCTACTGTCTTGTATTTAATTTTATCTCCCTAATTGTAGTGACTAACACGTACAATGAGGGAAAAAAAAAAAAAAAAATATAATAATATAATAATATACGATTTAAGTTAAACATTGTTACTAACGCAAATAACACTCATTGGATTAAATAAGTTTTTACGAATGGATTTATAGTCAGTTAAATAAATTATTAATATAATGCCATCTTGCGCAATGACATGTGAAGATTAAAGTTTTCAAATTTGAGATGGTGATAGATGGAGAAGATGGTGTAGCCTATTAAAGTACAGCTATATAAATCTAATAAATCTAATAAATCTCTTTATCGCATTACCGCCACCATGTTCTAACAAGTAACAACGGTTGCGTCACCGTAACGATAGTTTGATAACACTTTACGTAATCGATAAACAATATTGCATGGAACAATGCACAAAGTAGTTTAAAAGATAACATTTGATAAATAAATACACACTTTATGCAAGTAATGTAGATTCAAAGACGTAAATAAAGTTGTTAAAATGTAAGACTACAATTTTTATTTATCGCATGGGCGGAGATTGTATTGAAAACTAGCTGACCTGGCAAACGTTTTTTTGTCATATGAAGTATTTCGACGAAATTGTATGAGCTAATCTTAAGATATAGATAGATATATAATTTAAAATTCAACTCTGGCAGGACTTCAGGCCGGTAGCTCAATTGGTAGAGCAACAGTACGGAACGCTGACGATACCGGGTCAAGTTTAGCCCGAGGCGAACATTTTTAAATTTATTTTCGATTTTTAAATTATATAGTGCCATCATGTGAAGAATATTAAATTTTCAAATATAAATATATACTATCGCGGACATTTTATTATTAAAAGAATAATACTTTTATAAATATTTTTTGCGTATCTCGAAACGTCTTCACCTGAAAACGTAGGTAGATACCTTATTTTATTCAGACATAACAGAGACACACCCTTTTAATAATGTACAGTCTAGGAAATGTATAAAATGTAGTTACAAAACCAATTTTAATATTGTACTATTTTGTAATGTACTAAGAATTGTAGATCGTGTTCAAGTGTCGTATTAGGAATTATATAACAATTTAACTGCTGGTAATAAATTGCTTTGTTACAATGAGAAGTTTTACTTTTATTAAAGCACCCATTGAGATGACACCGAAAATATAAAATATCTGCATTAAGAAAACCTCTGAGATCGAGAGTAAAATTGTTTTAAGACTATTTCTAAATTCGCTTTGTTTGACGCGTTTATTTTTAAATAGCGTGATTTAAGAGAAAGGTTTTTATATATAACGTTCACAGTTTTCTGTAGTGTATTTAGTATCAGAATTGCACGGGAGCGAAGCCGGGGCGGGTCCCTAGTATGTGTAATATAGGTAATTAATTTTATACATAGGAATTACATACATTTCCTAGGAATTGTACATTTCCGGTAACATATACGTATATATAAGCGCCATTCCTAATAAGAACTTTGGTTCTAAGACGTCATTTCTTGCCCTTCATAAAAAAACCTAAGATCAAACCTTCCGGTATTACATGTCTCAACCGTCAATTAATCTATATCCAGTTGTACTAAGTACAAAGTTGCGTAAACAACGCCTTATTACGTCTTTATCGAAGCCTCTTATCTAATCAATATTGCCAACGCGTCGTCCTGTGCGGGGAAGCGTATCATCGATCCCGTCTTCGGCCTAAATTCGCCCAGACCTCGGCAAGTTCAAGGTTAAATGGCAACCTTTTGCGAAACATCTGCAGTTGCCTATAAAATGCTCCATTACTTTTTATCGTCTGCTTGCCTGTCAGCGAATGTTCGGGTGACGAAAGAACGTGAACGAATATACTTGCGGAAAATTATATTTTCCCTACATATATTTATACCTGGCAATTATTTCAATTTATAGTACCCATATAACAGTTATAAACGCGTTTAAAAATGTATAAAGTATTTTAAAATTAATTATAAACGTGTCCAGTGATTATCTGTTTGTAAACGAGGCAAAATTGTAATTTTAATGAATTAATAAATAAATAAAATAATCGATTAACTACGACGCGACATTTTATCCAATAAATGCCACGTTTTGAACCGTTAATTTTTTTTTATGTGTACCACTCATTATACATTCCATTTTTAAACTTCCTTACAAACGTCTAAGTTGATTTTGATTAGCTAAAATTCCTGTTAATGAAACACAATACTCACAGGGGTAAAATACATTTCATGAATGTGTCGAGTTCTTGCCCAGTTGTATCGATGTATATGTGCAGCCTCCTTGTGTTTTTCTTAAACAGACGCGTTAGAAACAGACTCTTCTCAAGGTTTTTTACTTCTAATTTTAGTAGGTCTCTATAACAATTCACAGACTTGAATAAATTAACTCATTACAACTTGATTAGGGGTCATAGGTCATCATGTTTGGATGCCAGGGAAACAGCAGTTTCTATTAGCACAGTAGTTTCATTGAGTAGAGTAAGCAATATAATATAACGGAGATGTGTCTGCTCCATGTCACACAAATGTTGAGCGGAAAGCAAAGGCGTTAGATGCACAGCAACACTGCTTACTGAAGTATGCTTATGCTTACTATGTCATGTCTAACTATGAATGTAGTTGAAACCGTTTCCTTTTAATACTGTAGTAGACTATATTTGTGCTTACCTTTGTCTTGCAAACACTAAAATAGCATTTCGCCAATGTCGGCATGTAGATGAAGCAGCAAGGGCATCCTCCATGCTCAGGTGATCTAGCACGCACCCAAGTGGAAGAAGGGGTAGGCTGCCCCAACCTACATCCATCTAAAACAATATTACACATACATAGACTCCTGTTCCTGCAGCTTGGGTCACAAGTCAGTTAATTTTCAATAAGTAATAATTACTCTTCTCAGACAAAGTAAATTAAAATAATTGCATCAATTCAAAATCGAAAATTATATGCTGTAATTTGATTTCTTACAAAAGCAGGAACAAATTTTAATTTTTTATTGTTACATGATGTAACAATAAAAAAAAAATGTTTCTTAAAAATAAATTGTGTTTTTATTTTACCAAGAATATGGCATAACTCATACCTCAGTAAAGTAAGATTTTCGTTACAACTACTGTTACTGTGCCTTTTCGCTCAAATAAAACTAATAATGCACTATTAGTAATGACCTTCACTATTATTCCACATTTACGACATCCTACGTACGCAAAAGCGCAAATATCACGTTATACGAGTGACGACAAACTCAGCTGTGAGCCTAAGGTGTGACGATGTAACAGCTGTTTTGGAGAAAGTAGGCTAAACTTAATAAAAACAGAAACTGCGCAAATTCTTCCAACGCCTTAGATGTCTATATAATTCGCTCATTTTATATACAAATTGTACTAGAGTGAACCAAAAAACCTGTTAGCCTATTCAAAGATTTATTATATACAACTAAATGTATCAAAAACAAAGAAAAATCTTATAAGTAATTCGTACCTTTAATTTTGTGTCTGGCTTTTCACTGCGATACTTGGTCTAGTCTCGTTTAGAAAATCTTTACGTTCACTTATTTAAAACTGAATAGCAAATTCAAATATTACACGTCCATTATTACTTTATTTATCTCGTAAAGTAACGGAATTAAAAATTCTTTGGGTGGTCTGGCTGCAATCGAAAGTTGGATTAAAAATTTATCGAATGACAGAACGAGACATCGAAAGGACTAAGATGACACTAGACAATTTGAGGCATGACAGTTGTGGTATTAGTTTGAAATAAAAAGGCAAAAGACACAATTACTAGTAATTCCGTTTCATATTATTACAGTAATTATATAAATGAAAACATCACGATCTCTCACTAATATTTCGGAAGATAAAGGAGACGCCTTTTTTATCTGTGGAAATGTACATGGCAATATTGAACCTATGGTACAATTATTTTGTGGCGATGGTCAATAATTTGAGTAAATTTTGTAGTTATCGTGCTGAGAAGGATGATACGATATTATAATAAATAGCATTGTGTTTAAGATTTATAATAATTTGTTATTGTTGTCTTTGTAAGCGTTAATGTATTGAATTTAAATCAAACCGTTTTTTTGTGCTGTAGGTCAGTTTGTAACTACTTTATTTGCTATAAAGATCGATGATGTAAGATCATTCAAAGGCTATTCGATCATACTTCATTGTTTGGGTGTTTTACATAAATTAGTCATGGAGAGTAATAACCATTCTACGGGAAATTGTGAAAAAGAAGAAAATGGAAGCAGTTCCAACTCGACGCCCGGCGAACATAAATCTTTCGCTGAATTTGCGAAAGATAAACTAGACAGCGGTAATTTCATGTTTTATTTTTTTTCGCGATTAATATGTCATATTTAATATATTAGTTGCTCAATTTTTAATTTTCATAGTAAAATAATTGTAGTTGTGAAGACCTTTTACTTAATAATTCGATTTTCACGTTCGTTTTATGTATATTGAAAAAGCATTTATGTATATAATTTATTCTTTTTTTTTCCTACTTACTTGATAATTTAATTTTCAGGAAAACTTTTATTGTATTCATTAATTTAATTTGTAAATTGAAAAAAATATCACATTAACACACTTAAAAGAGTGGTAAGTTTTTGTAAAAAAAAATAAATATGCAAATGGATCACATGAATATTATATGATTTAAGCCCCTTTAAATTCATTAAATTATTTTATTTTATAGACAACCTAACATTTCTTTTAAAGCTGGCAGAGAACTCCGGAGGCGTCTCCCAATGGCGGGACAAATTGGTGCTCACTTAATGCATCCCAGACGACTATTACTGCATTCAACTCCAACTCAACAGACTGATGTTGTTCTGATCTTCCCTAAAGGTACAAAAATAATCCATAACAAATTGAACATTATTTTCTATTGGATACACTAATATCGGTCCACATAAACTGCTGACCATATGCATATATCCATATAGATATAAATAGATAGTACATATACATATAGGTTATAACTGCAGCAAATCTTAAATTTTTCAGCTTATTTAGATTTTATCCTTGTGATATATAAATTAAAAGTATACAACACTATTATTAAGCCTATAAAATAATTATTTAACACATTATTTTTGAGTAGAGACCTATGAATTTAAAAATACCATTTGACAAGGCAATTTGTACAAACTTGACAAAAGTACTTGACCATTTGAAATATTTATGGCCATGTTCCAGAAGTATAACATTTTATCTTTTGACAAATACTAAATCTAGTATTGCTTCTAAGATCTAGTTTTCTAATAAGCAATGATAAAATGCTTGATAAAATTTTTAAATAAAAAAAATTAACAACTGCCGACTTACCTTATTCCTAACATGTAATCTTTGCCATTTTAAATCAGTTAAAGTTAATTGATTTACACACAATGTTATACATTATTTTTGACAATAATGACACAACAGTAATAAAGGACTAAGAAGTATTTATATTTTTATAGAAACGCTACTCTACTTAAAGCTTCCTCAATATAAAATATTATCTAGATTTCAACTGACGCTTTAACCTAGGTCTACCAGATAGCATGCTCCTATGGCTGCTACAAAAGCTTAGAGGTAGTCGGCCCAGACTCCGCGTGTGTGTGCGCCAGCATGCCTCATCGCAATGTTCTGCATTCTACATAACAGCGGATGATGATGTGTAAGTTTATTCTAAATTTACGCGCTAATTATGCAAAACTAAGACCTTACCAAGGTTTGAAGAGGACACAGTGAGAGTTGAATAACCCAAAGTCCGCCATAGGAAGGAAATGGGGCAAAGGGTAATATCCCTGGCATTCTGTCTCTAAATCTACTAATATTATAAACGTGAAAGTTTGTATGTGTGGATGGATGTTTGTTACGCTTTCACGCGAAAACTACTGAATGGATTTCAATTAAACTTTCCAATAATATAGCTTATACATCAGAATAACACATAGGCCACAATTTATAGAGATATTGTGGGAGCTGTCCAAAATATGACATTAAGTGTCAAGTAACTAGGAAAAAAGCTACCTTACTGCGAGCTCTTCTGACGTGCGCTGCCATAAACGTTAGTTACGCATAATTATGTAATGTATGATATGATAGACATCATTTAGTGAAAATGCTCAATACTACGTAATCCTAATCCTAATCCTGCATAGACGAAGTCGCGGGCACCAGCTAGTAGAAAATAATGATAACTTGGAAGACTAGTTGCGCAACTTGACGATTCATTTTAATAAGAAATATTACTAACTTATAATAACTCTTAAGTTATTTTCTCCCCCACTTCCTATGTATACTTTTACGATGTACCTTTTCTATTGTTTGTTATTCCTTACACCCACTTAATACATCTTTTTCTATTTCTTTTCTCCTGTACTTTAGGTTGCCTGGAAGAGATCGCTGCTTAGCGATAAGGCCGTCATTTAAGTTAGTACGTAAGATGTTTTCTCTTTTTATGTGATTTTATCTGTTGTATGGGTTAAAAATAATAAAGCTATAATAATGAATATGAATGGTTTGGGGTAATAATTTCAAGAATCATTAATACAGCCTGTGTTTGAATTGTCGATGTATACCGCTAAGTGTTAGTCTAAGAGCGTTACTTATAGATTAGCCTCTGTAGTCCTAAATGTAAATCCTGCATCGCAAACAATTTAGTTGACCTGTTAAACCTATGTGCTTTCCCAGTATTTGAACCCAGGTCTTTTGCACTAAATGGCAAGAGAAGTATTAACTCAAAGTACTGTCATTTTCATTTCTATTCAATTTCATATGAGCTTAGCTGTGCGTGAAATCTTTGTAAGTAATCATTGTCAAACTGCCAAATTAGTAGCATTTTTATATTGTTAAAGACTCCTGCAAACCGCGGAGGAGATACATTTGCCGAAACAACTGAAACCCGAGTTTGGAGGCGGCTTCAAAGAGTTCACTGTAAGAGATATGCATTGCTTTCAAAAGGTAAGCAGACTAAAGATATACTTAAATAATATTTCTTCACTAACATCAAGCATCGAATAGCAAGGAATTTAAAAATATTTTCATTTAAGAATTACTTTTAATTACCAGTGTTAAGGTTGAAATACATTGCGCGAGGAGTGCGTGCATCAACAAATTGAAAATGTCGACGATGGCGTGTAGAACACGGTAGCTCAATTGGTTAGCAACAGCACGAAACGCTGTGGATGTCAGTTCAAAACTGGCTCGTGTCGTAAACTTTTATAATTTATACAATTCCATCATGTGCAAAACACGTGAAAAATATTAAAGATTTTCGAAATTAATTCGTATTTAAGTATTTCAACTAGGACATTTTACAATTAACGCTGAGTCATAAGGTAGGTATGTGGGAATGAGTAAGAGTTCCACGGCCCTGACTTTGCATAGCTACTTGTGTTTTCAAGGTTTTAGGAATTACGACGCCTGAACACCTCGAAAACCGAAGTAGTAGAATATAACTACACAAAATAACAATAATGTTTACATACGGGAAGAAACTCTGCTACAGGATTTGTTTTTGTTATTTTGTATACATACAGTCTTCGCAAAGGCCTCGTTAAGTGAAACTTAAGTGAAGGATTCATTAAACGGAGAGCGAAAGCGAGATACAAGTGGACACTTGTAACGAAACTTTTGTCGTTAAAAATGAATAAAATATCCTCTATTCTTTTCAATGTGTTGAAGCAGTGCATCTTTGACTTTCGTTTTTCACTCTTTTGAAACACTGTCCTATAACAATACAAGGAATTGTACGATTTTAAAATATAAGAAAAATGGCAAAGACTAATCTCGTGGCCTCTTCAGCTTGTATTGCGTTAAATGTTATATACAACATGGATAAACATTATTTTAGCTTCACCGGGGAAACCCATACTTAAGGTCGATATTAAAAACAATATCAATACAATTCGATACAAACGATATCAAATCAATATTAAAAAGCTAAATACGTCTGAAAGTGCTTTTTGTGTGCACTGTTATCTAACAAACATCTATTATTATTAGAAATCAGGTTATAACTAAAGACAACACCATTTTCTTTTACTATGGGTAAATTACCCATAGTAAAAGAAAATTCATTACATATATATAAAATTGGTTTTGTGTTTTGGGTAATTCATCGAATTCTCAATTATACTATATATCAGTACATAGTAGCAAAATCGCTTTTTCTGTTCCTATGTGCACTTAAATCATTAAAATTACGCAACTGATTTTTTAAAATTAGATAGAGTGATTTGAGGGAAAGGTTATACAATGTTTACAGTTTTTCTTTGGTGTATTTAGTACCAGCATCGCACCCGAGCGTAGCCGGGGAGGGTCGTTAGTATAGTATAAAAGTGTAAGATGGGATGTTAACTTTTAGACCGATTTTGATGGGTTAGTTTTCAAATTGGAGACTACCTTGCATGAACAATAAGCAAACGATATTATAAACTCGATGTGATGACTTGTGTATATTTCTTCTGTAAGAGGAAAATAAACATAATCAACATTTTTATATTTATTCGCCTAAAGTATATATTAAGACGAATTTTATTAATAACGCATCGCGCCGAGCTACCAATTCTAGTTCTTATAAATCAGCTGTATGCAAATTTTATCGACACAACCGAACTGTCTTTGAATAATTTATCGACGCAATGGACATTGATATTGTTTCTCCAGAAATGGTTCGAATATATTTATCTTAAAGCCTATAATAAGTGTCTCAGCTCGTTATCTACATTGAAAAAGGACAGAAGTGTCTTTAAAATACAAGGGTAGAATGTTAGAAAATTATATTGGTTCTTAATTTATTTATTAAGTTTAAATGACTTAATTGATATAATACTTGTGAGGGCATGATTACTAACCATTTAGAAGCTATACTATACTAGAGAACCAACACACCGGTGGATAGAGACCATTATCTTCTACGTCGTTATAGTAAAACAGGAGAACATGCCATTTTTGACAACTAGGTACCCGTTGACAGTTGTTTTCTTTTTAACGACATCTGCTGATAGACAGAACCCGGTTTATACACGAAAACGTTTCAGGGCACCTCTGCTACCGAGCTGCTGAATTCCCAAGAACGTGGTGCTCTAGTGAAGCACGTTCTAGAAGCTGCTAGAGCAGAGCCTGGAGACGAACGCGCGTTGGAACCGGCCCTTACTCTGCGACCTGGACAAAGTATTGGTGAGTGTCAATAAGAAAAATACTATAAAGTATTCTAGAATTTGACATGAGTAAACCAAGTTTTTATATTCTGTTCTCTACGTCAGTTACAATATATACGCTAACCCAAGACCCGACCTGAAGCATGTATAAATAATAACTCAAACACAGAATATTAAAGAAGTGTGAAAACTTCTATATCTGTACTTATATATAAAGCTGAAAAGTTTGTTTGTAATCGCGCTAATCTCAGTAACGACAGGTTCTAATTTAAAAATCATTTTGTGTTGATTCGAGCATTTATCGGAGAAGGCTTATAAAGCATCACGCTGCGAACTATAGGAGCGAAGATACAGTGGGAAATGTGTTTGAAATGGGGAAAATTACTCATCGTAAAGGGTTGTCGTTATGTGCGCGGTTAAAACAGTATAAAGACCCAAAAAAAAAGTTTGTAAAAACAAATTTTGATAACGTGGGCACAGCGAGTTAACTCATGTAATAATAATAATTTGACCGCAATAAACTACAAGTTTAACAAGAGATTTATGCGACCTAAATAATGTTTGATACAAACTGTATTTCTGTCAAACGTAGGGTACGTTATAAGGGCAACAGTAAATTACGAAAGTTTGCTTGAATAAACAGTCACGCAAGATATGAACTAGAATAATTTCAGGTCACAAGTAATTTCTTTATAATTGAGCTTGATGTTACTAATGAAATATCATGTTATATGTATTACTGATGGTGATTTTTTTTTAAACTGGCTTTTTAATGAGTTATTTAATAATGAGTGTACCACTCTATCGCTAAGTAACTAATATTGCATATATTTCTGGAACATATATATACAAATTTAAAAATCAACATTTATATCGGGACACCGTATGGACCACGCTGTGCGATAAAGACAAAGCGAACATATGAGCGAGATAGCATGAGAGCGTCCGCCATTCAAAGTTTACTTCTAACCGCACGAGGCATAATACTTTTTTTTAGTTCCAGCCTGTGTTAGCCGCGGCGTTATAGCAAATATGTTTCCGCTGCACGAACGAAACGAACTGGAGAGTTTACGAAAGAAGTGGGTTAAAACTTTTTTCTCGCCGCAACCTCTAGGTATTTATTTCAATGGAAAATCTTTTAATAATTTTGAATGGAAAAGACCGTTTTATATGGGCACTTCTATTGGAAAATTTGCGATTGTATTTTGCTGTCTATATGTTAAGAATCCTTAATATATATGTTTGTCTCTTTCATATCCCTATTTTTTTATAAAAGGAAACGAGTCAAAACTACTTAGATAGACTAGGTCATAAAATTGACAGCCTTTGTAGCCAAATGGTTAAACCAGCCTCAAGCGGAGAGGTCGGTCGACCCAGAAAACAAAAAGCCGGCGGGGAGAGTCGACCTGCCGTTGAAGAACGGATCAGTGAAACGGACACAAAAATGTGTTCGCCCTATGCCCAGGAGAGGGAAACGGACTACAAGGTAATAACATTCTTCTCTTTCAGATGAGATTAGTGAATACTTTGGCGTCAAGATAGCGATGTATTTTGCGTGGCTTGGGCATTATACGAGGTCACTGACAGTACCTGCCGTCGTTGGTTTTGTGTTTTGGGTAATTTGGCTCCTTATTATATTAAATCCGTACATTTCGTATCGCAGTAGCGCCTTTGCAACTGTTAAAACTTGTATTAAGTCACTTAACTGTTTAAAATGCGAAGTTATTGACAATTTATTTGAACTCAGGCCCTATGCGTTTCGAATGCTTTGCAGCCGAGATCTCTAAAATATTTAATGTTTCAAACTGTCAACAGTGTTTTATTTAGAATATATTATTTCAGGTATGGTTGGGCACAGCGAGTGACAATTGGAAAGATATAGCACACGTATTGTTTTCGTTGTTTAATGTTCTGTGGGCCTGTGTCTATTTGGAGACTTGGAAAAGGTAACATTTATACTTAAATCTAACGATATTTATAAATTGAATAAGGTTTTAACCGCCATTTTGGAAAGGTATTTTATTTGTACCACTATCGTTATTGAGAAATTGTTCTTGACATTCACTCGTTAAAACATATTAGTTCGTAGTCTAAATATATAATCGCTACCACCCATCAATTCGACAACCCAAGTAGCTTACTAAAAAAAATGAACTGACAAAGCTGTATAAATTTGTAGATATTCCAATGTGTTGGCGTACAAATGGGGTACGTTGGATGAGAGAGATGATCTTTTGCTGGAACCCAGACCTTTATTTCAGGTAAAGGGGGTACCCCTTTTGAACCTTTTCTTTTTTATTATTCTGTTTATGAATTATAAACCAATTAATTTACGGAATACGGGAAACAAATCTAAGTCTAAATCTAATCATAAGAAGCTTAAAATAAAATATGAAGTCTAGATATTGTCGTAAATATTTTCACAGATAAAATTAGGATTATAGAATTGCTCACAAAACTAGATCGTAAAACACAATGACATGAATTAAAATTGCAATAATATAATGCATTTAAGATGGCAATATAATATAGGTTATCCACCTTTGTCTTTTAAAATAAATCATCACTATCATTTAAATAAAACACTTTAGGGGTTGAAATATATTAAATAAAAGTTAAATATATTTCGGATGCTATGTAGCAGACGTGGTCACGGGGTGACTAACGATTCGCCAAATACCATCTAGGAAGAAACAGATGGCGCTAGCGTAGCAGTTTTTACTTTGACTTCAGAGATCTAACTAGATTCTCCCCGTGACCACGGTTGCTGCAAAGTATCCGAAACATCGGGCAGCAGTTTAAAATAATGTTTCAATAAGTTTAACTAATATATGTTTCTACGTGTTATTAGCCGGTCAATTGTTTAAACTTTCACTTAAACACATAAAATTAATGTAGTATATTTATTGTCTTCTAACTTTTAGGGCGAGATGAGCATAAGTCCAGTGACAGGTCGGCCCGAGCCCCAGTACGCAGCATGGCGTCGTCGTGTCTGGCGTCATTGTGTGTCGTTCCCCGTCATGCTGCTATGTCTTGCAGTAGCTGGTGTTGCTACGTTTGCTCTTTTACTTGCTCAGGTTAGTTTTGCCAAAATATTCCAAAACTAAATATCTTCTTAATAAACTGTATAAGTATTTTCCGTCATTTACCCGAGTAAAACATATATAAGAAAAAACACTTAACGGTTTAAAATGCGCAATATATTTCTTAATGTAACAATTTATTTTAACGACCGCCCAACGTTTCTAATGATTTGCAGCAACGTGGTCAAGGGGACCATGCTATTAGTAAATATGAAGATTTAAAATAGTTACTATAGATTACTAGTTACTGTAGATGTGTTCATCTAACGAATATATTAAGAATTAAAGCTTCGTTAAGTATAAAGATGGGCATAGACATCTTAGTGACTTATCTAAGTAAAAGTTAAACTACTAATAACAATTCACTTTGTTTGTCAATTTGCTTTTTTTGATTTCTACAGGAATGGTGGGAAAACACAATAGGGTACCTGAATTGGATGCCTCGTGCTGTATTGGCAATTATTATTGCAGTGGAGGAGGAAGCCTATGCGAGAATTGCCAGGTGGCTAAATGATAAAGGTGATTTTTTTGCAATTCGATAATTTAGTTGGATTAGTTTTCCCAAACACTAATTAGAGGGTAAAAAATGTGTTTTAAAAATTTTCTACTAATAGTTTTTTTATATAACTTGTGACTTAAAAATACTTGTGTAGAATTTTTTAACACTAATATAAGATAAAACATGTTTTCGTATTTTTTGTACAAAGACTGTATTTGCTCAACCTATCATAGCATGCTCTTAGTACCTCCGTCTAAATTAAAATTTTAAATAGACATAGACAAGATAGATTGACGGTAGACTAAACTAGCGATTTTTAATCTATGGTAGTAAATTTCGTTTTCTCTTTACCGCTTACCAAAAATGGAAATGGACGCACACGGTAACAACGGAATTTAAATAGAAAATTATCGTCTCGAAACAAAGTATGAGAACCATCTGATTGTGAAAATTGCATTGGTTTGTATTGAAAGCTGAATCATATGCGACCTGCCGCTGTTAGCTTTATGGGGTTGCCATGCCAACTTTCTAAATTATTATTTGCAGTACTAAACTGTTATTCTTTAAAACGCGATATATACTATTAATTTATTTTTAACGCCGAGTGGTAGTTAAAAAAACAAGAAAATTATTTTAAACATATTTTTATTTTGTTTTGTATTCCCATCATCAACATTTTTCTTGATTACCTTTGGCACTTATATAGTAAAAGAAGAACTCGTATAGTTTTTTATTTTATTTTTACCTATGGTAACCCCATACCATAGAGAACTAACGAAACAGTTGCAAATAACGCACGATGTAGTCTTATAGCCATTTGCATGTTAGCAACACATTGCTTTAAAGATATTGTCGCAAAATAATGGCAACATTTGCACTATTAATATTGAGCACAATCATTTAACAGATAAAAAATGTACATTTTATGTACTCATTTTAGTTTATAATATCACATAGTAAAACTATGAGTCACACATACATAACTAACACAATATATAGATTATGGAATATAAAAAGTTGAATTATTTTATATTTTAATTTTCAGTTTCAATTCCTAAACTCGTTCATGAGTTTGTTCTACATCGCGTTCTACCTGCAGGATATGGATAAGTTAAAAGAAGTAAGAAAAATTACTTTTAAATAAAAATGTCCTTAAAAAAAGTCCATTATTAGCATATATAATAAGAAGACAGTGGTTGTGTTTGGCTTCTTTAATTTATTTGTAATACATAATAAATAAGTAGACTTTCAAATGAGAAAATATATTTATTGTTTGTCTTAAGTTTTTGGTATCACATAAACATGTTATTTGTTTAAGTAGCTCATTTATATAATATAAAAAATAATTGCCGTCATTAGTTTTCTTTTCTTGCATCTATAAATTCGATTATAAATTAATTTTATCAAAGCAATGGCCAAAAGCACTTATTTAGTTTTTTTATTTCCTTTTTGGCATTTTTCATTTAAGATTCGTCTTAATACAACAACATGTTATTTTTTTAGCAACTAGCGGTGCTGTTGATAACCAGACAGATAATTGGAAATCTAAAGGAATCAGCTTTGCCGTACCTCATTGAGAATTTGAGATTGGCTAAGATTTGTTTCGACGTGTTTGGAGCTTTGAGCCCCACTAAAGGTAAGAATGTCCCACCGTTGGGCACACTTCTTTTCGGATAGAACATGCTTAAGAACTCAGGCCAAAGTCAAGATAGGTTGACAGCGCAAAAAAAGATTCTATTTCTATTCCGTATCTCACATACAGCGTGGACATAGGGACAATTATGTTTTACGGATTGATTTTATTTCTAGGCTTTTAGGTGTACACCCTTTATAATCGATATTTTCTGTGTTACCCTGGCATCCGAATCTTAGTCCGAATTACTTTAAGGTATGATAATATATACATATTATATATTCGCATTTAGTTCAAACGTCAGAACAACTGGCTGAACTATTTGAGAAGGAGAAAATGACGTCATCGTCCGGGGAACCCCCGGAAATGTTACTGAACGGCACAGATAGAAGAGATTCGGAACCCGTTGTGGGCCAAAAAGTTATCCACCAAGCCGAGCTGGAGTCGCAGCTATTTAAGGTATCGTGCCTTAACTTTTTTCTATGAAAGAGTTAAAAACATAGCCTTACTTGAATTTTAAACTAGTCTGTTCGTGTTCTAAACTGTTAAAAGCGTTTCATGTACATTATAAGAATAAATCATAAACAATGATGTATATTTTATTTCATTCCAGTATGACGGCACATTCGCGGAATACCTAGAAATGCTAACCCAGTTGGGACACGTAGTTCTCTTTTCCGCCGCATTTCCGCTGGCGGCGCTGTGTGCGTTGTTGAATAACGCGTGCGAGATACGCGCAGACGCATTCAAACTGTGCCACGTTGCACAGAGGCCGTTTGGAGAGAGAGTCAATAGTATTGGAAGTTGGCAGGTAATTTCTATATTTCTCCGCAGATCTTCAGCACTAAGTTAAAATATTAAAAACACTTTTTTAGATTGTCTAAAAGATATAAATTATTTTTTTTTTATCATCTACCTTATTAAGATACAGAAGTAAGTCCGAAGTGGAGCCCAAAGTATTTTGGTCTCTTTCATTATAATTGTATATTGTGTTTGCATGCTGTAGACATCAAATAATGTTATTAATATATATTTAAATTTATAATATATCTATATACACTACGGTTTAAGGTTAATTAATTACATCAATATAGTTGTAATCATTTCTTATATTCACTTCATACTTTATTTCAAGCATAATAAAATGAAACATTTAAAAAATACCTAAATATAAATATTTTGTTTAATTTAACATATTAAGTAAGTAAGAAATATAACATTTATTAGCACGCAATGGAAGCTATGGTGGCTGTATCTGTGCTCGTAAATTGCGCCCTTATTGGGCTATCGGGTCCTGTTCATCGACTTCTACCGGATGCCACTCCTGCGCAGACAGTGCTGCTTATAGTGGCTTTGGAGGTAAGGAATTAAGCAACATATTATTTTATTCATAGACTTTTCTAAGCTTAAAACCGAAATCACAATATGTCTTAATATAAATATTTCAGCACGTGGTCCTAGTGACGGTTTTGGCTCTCCGCATTGCAATACCAGAGATTCCGGGGTGGCTCGCGACCGAAATGGCAAAAGTCGAGTTCCAGAGACGTGAAGCGATCAACGCTGCGCACGCGCCGCTTATGGTATAAATTCAATACAAAATATAAATAATGGAATTCGAGTGTAAATTTAGATTATGTGTCTTAAAAAGCACGTAAGATTCCAATCAAGCCATTTTATATAAGGCTTAAACATATTTATTAACTCGTAAGGATTTTTAAAATTCACTAAAAACAAGAAATACAAATGTTTTATATATAGAGGTTATCACAGTTAAACTTTGTATATCAATGTAATCAAGTATATGAAACATTGTATGCAGTCGGAATGTCCCAGTCAAGACGACGTACGCCCATCAGCACGCAACACTCCCCGAACGATCACGCCCACTACACCAAAACCAGACAAAGTTATTGAGAAGAAGAAAATTAATATCGGCAAGATACCAGAAATACCGCCTTTTAGGTGAGTTGTATATATAATATCGATAGGGCATATATTTTGGTTCGGGAATCGTTTAAATTATATATTGACTACAGTTGAACTAATCTACTTAATTGCTTTTTCGACGCTTTTTGGATTATTACGATTTCATCATGAGACAGGATTCAAACCTACGGCGTTCGACAGTCATGCTCCAGTCACTGTACTTTACTACTATTATACTACTGTACTATAGTACAAAGTATATATGTAAATTTTACGAATAAAAATAGAAAGAAAGTAGTTATTTTTTCAATAAAACCCTAATGGTTTAAAACGCGATATATATTAGTTAATTATTTAAAAATTATTTTAACTACGGCCCAACGTTCGACGTATCCCGAGCATCCGAAAACAAAAAGTATCAAAAAGAGGATTCAATATGTCGGGCCATCATTGAAATATTTTTTAAATAAGTTTAACTAATAAATATCTCGTTTTAAACTGTTAGTGTTTTATTTAAATAAAAATAAAAAACATTCATAATCTTTGACACAGTCAATTATGATGCGTAGATGTGTCTTGTGTCTGTATCACTCATTTAGAATAGAAATGAAAAGGACAATATCTAAAGTAGCTCATCGCATAGCATAAAATTAGTTACACATACACCAAAGGATCATTCACATGCATGCTACAAATGTCTGAGCCACGCATTCTGTGGATGTTGATGATGGCTCCAGCATTTCGATATAAACAATATTATGTAGTGCTGTGAACTAGGCCAACATATGCTAAGAACTTCTATGCAACCTCTTTTTAACTATCAACGATAATAGAGGTAGTTCTAATTTCAAAGGTTTTTTATGTTGCCAGAAGTTGCTAGCACAGATTAGCCAAATATAGATTATAAATTAGTTTCATTCTGTTTGTTTTCAGTTAATTTGACACATTACAGCGATGGGTGTGTAGTTGTCGAGTATATATTATTCGTCCGTAACATGTCTGTATTCTATAATATGCTTTTTATACGAACGTTGTGTTTTTTTATTTATTTATTTGCGAATAAACTTTTTGACTTTATGTCGTAGTTTTTTCTTCATCAACCTATTAAGTATCATCAACTTAGTATTCTTCATAGAATGCTAAAAGCGAAAACTATTTTGTAATGTTTGGATAATAAGGTAAATATTCCCACTTTAACTCTTTAGAACATTTTCTTATCTATACATTAATGTAAATATGCTATCTATCATAATAGTGTGGTATGTATTTTTCCTCTTTCATGAAAAAAAAAACACTTTTCTACATTACACGGCATATCCTAAATCTTAGCTTGCTAAAAAGTCCAAGTTAAATTTTCTCATAACCCTATTGTAACCTCTTTCAAAGATATATAACAATAACCTTCAACTATTTTGGAATAGTTTGCACACTTCATAAAGGTCTTTCACATGCGCTTACCGTCTTCAGCTATTCGTTAAATGATTTTCAATAAAGTTCGGCTAAAGGGTTGAAATTTCCAGGCCTAAAGCAGCGTCCATAACAGCTCCAGCTGTTATGGAACGATCCAGCTGTCACCACAGGTTCGCTTCAGATGTTGCAGGATGTCAGCCCTACTAAGCCGATACTACGGAAAGTATGTTTAAAGTAGTTAGTTGAAAACCCTAATATTTTTCACATGTTATTGCACACGATGGCACTATATAAAATAAAAATCGAAAATAAATTGAAAAAAAATTACGACTAGGACAGTTAACAGTACCTACACGTAACGTAAGTTACTATTGACGTAATAGATAATTTTAGGATTAAATAAATTATCATAATAATTTATAAGTATACGTTTCACAAACTGTTCAACTTTAGACAAATATTGAATCCATTAAGAAAATATTTTTATGCCGGCATATTACCGGTTCATACCTCAAGCTCAAATGGATTTAACTTTCCCAGGAAGCGAACCCTGGAGCACCATTGTCCCTCTTAGGTGTTCGAGGATTGAGAGACGAGCCGCTCCACAGATCGGCGCATTGCATACCACATCCTACACAGCATAGACCGCTTGTTAATCCGACACTGCAGGTAAACTAAAAAGTAATCTAAACTTTATCATAGATTATAGAAAGTCATATAATATTCAATTATATTTAAATATCTATCTTATGATTATATAATTGTCGGTATTTAAAGTAACTGGTGTATTTGGGAGAACGAAATAATTCTTGCACTATAACTTTATATATACACGACAACAATTCGTGTTAATATTGTTCTTAAAGTCAGAAAACCATTTTCAAAAAAGAGGTCCACAGCGCATTGCGAATCGCGTTCATATCAGTTATGCTTCCAGGAACTGTCTGGCAGTGTAAGTGCTGGTGGTTCCGAGCCTGACCTGAACGCGGTGCCATCTCCTACTTCACTCGACACTAGCGCCACCTCTAGCGAAGATGACAAGCCTAAAGAGAAAGATAAGAGTAGTGAGTAGCATGCGCATGACAGTGTTTTCGATGTGAAGACATAATGACAATCTCTCAACGGCATAAATAATTTCCTCCACCCAGTGCGAGGTATCATGTACCTTAAATCTATAAATTGTAAGAAAAAAAATGAAGCAGTTCTTTATTAGTGATTAGACTTTACAGACTTACAGTAAATCCTTACGCGTTCTTGGAGTTAGCCTGGTAGCACAATTTAAGTTGAATCTGTATAATATATTAATTTATTATTAGTAATGATTTCTACTAAATACATATTATATAGGTCGGTCTCGCGCACGTGCTGCACTGGTAAAACGTGTTCGTTCCGTCGCTGTATTCTCGCTCGGGCTGCGAAAGGCTCGCGAAGCTGCGCAGGCGCAAGAGAAGCATTCGCCTCACACGCCTGACAGACCACATACTACTCCAGTAAGTATAGACAGTTTTTAGCCAGAGCTTTACTAGACAATCGAGAATAAAAAGAACTTCTATTAACTATATATCAAAGATAAGATTGTCTACAGCGAATCTTTTTGTCAACAGGGACCGCCGGCACCGATGCTAGGAGGCGAATTATCTCTCATACCGATCGAACAATTAATCCAAGTGGATGACGTTAAACCTCGGCCGTCTGCGTAATCTTCCAACCTATAGTCTATCCAGTATTAGATATTAGATAACGATTTTATATCTGTGGTTATTGCTTATCATTGATATGGCTGAATACTTTAACACATCAGCAATTAAAATGGAATACATCTAAAAACTTAAACATGTTAAATTATTATCAATGTTTGTTAAAAATTTAAGTAATTTTGAGTGTTCAGCCATAACAAAATTTAAAATCCATAATTTTCCCCGTAGGTAAAGTCCCGTTTTATATGTAGGTTAATCACTTAGGGTCATGGTAGTGTGGAGAATTTGTTTAACTATGACAGAGGCTTAAAGTGTGGACATGGGCATTATTTACAAGAAATAAAACCGAGTTATACTTTCGTGTTGTTAAAAATTTCAGCGTAATTATAATTTTATTAAAATTCTATGGACTTTTTTAGTCAAGGTCCTAACATAGATTATTATTATTTTGACCATAGAGTAAAAACATGTCAAGTACAAAATGAATGTGAAAAGTAATTTTAGTATCAACGAGATATTTGTGATAATGCTGTGAGTGTGACGTGTTGTTAAACGGCTTTTTTAGCATTTTTAAAAACGATTTTGATGGCGTTTTTGATGTTGTTCATAAATTTGTTGATTCAGAGATAAGCTTCGGTCAGATCTAGTAAACAAACAAGAATTTAAAACCCTAATTCTGGTAACGTATCATGGTGAAGGTTATATATTGATTTACAAGATCTGACCCAACATAAAAAGCAATCATCTGACAATAATTGCTGTTGCATCAAATAAATTCATAATTCTTTCTCTATGGAATTCTGTCTATCTGTTCATCAAATCTGTTTAATTTTAGATTCATAAAATTCGTAATTATTTGTGTCAATTACTTACTACAATATAATTTACAAAGATCTTTCCCAAGTTTTTGTAGAGTTATTCAAAAGGGTCTTTCACTGGCAACACTTCGCCACGTCTTGCACAATTCTTATTTTACTCTTATCTACTAATCTTCGTCCTAGTAACCTAGGATTGTCTAACTATATTTCTAATTAAATCTATGACGCGAATTCTAATAATAATAGCTCATGCAATTCTTTGATCTTCGTGTCAAAACATAGCGTAGTGCATACCTATTATAAAACGTATTGAGAGAAATAGGTTAGGAAAGCAAGTGTTACTTAGTTTGAGCTTAACTGCTATATGTGTATGTACCGGCGCCACTAGATTTTTGTTCGTACGCGCATTCTGTATTTTTGAAAATGTTTTATTTTGTTTCCCACGGATTGAGAATAATTGGCTACTCGGATTCTTTTTATAAACCAAGGGTACATCTGCAGATTTCGATGTCATTTGTAGTAAAATCGTCTTAGTTCTAGTGAAACATTTACCTCATGTCACACTGTCCCCGTTAATATTATTGTTATATTTAGCGATACAAATCATGAATTTGTTAGTGTTATGTTATAGAAATGCTTTATTCTATAATAGTGTAGCGCTGTAGCAAGAAAAGGTATTTGTTGTTATTGTAATTATTTTTATACGGAATATTGATAAATGTTGCATTTTTAGTGTATAATAAATTATGTTTGCAATTAATTTGACCTTTTAATTTATTCCATGTTACGTAACCTCCCTAACCTGACCTCTCTTAAAATGAAAATTGAATTCATTTTAAATTAAAAATCTATTTGGATTTACGAAAAATTACGACTCAGGCGGAACGATAATTGGCATTCACAGCGTTGCTTGTCGTGGTGATTGTTAATTTAAATTTCGTGAAATTCTATGAGATGATAAAGAGATTTTATTTCATTTACGCCTTTGCGAAAAACAATATTATTGCTCTTTGTACTAAGATTACCGTATACTGCAGGCAAATTCATTCACTTAATTATTGTTTATTTAATGAGACTCTTTCTACAATGCACATCCCTAGTCCCTACTAATCTTTATCTGTGACAGCCGTGATCTAAAAGTTACAATATAATCTGTGGATTGTGAATAAAATTTAAAACACAAATAAACATGGCTATTGGTGTCGATACTTCTAAATGGAAGCCGAGAAGATTGCAAGGGACACCTGCGGCGAAATTCAGGAATTATTTAGGGATTGGTATATTAAGTCTTGGACTCATAAGCGGACTAATCTTTCAGTGAGTGTCGTAGTAAATGGGTTTCTACGTTAGTAAAAGGTTACAATTTTCTATGCTAGCTAAGTTGTAATATTCTTATTAATTTTAGTACGATTCCTGTGACAAAAAACTTACGAGTAGCTTCTGAAAGGCTTTACGAAGACCCTATTGAAGAAGTGGAAAGAAAACAAATGATTGCAGCGGGTCTGCCTAATCGTACCGGGGATCAAATACGAAAAATCGTTAAAGAAATTGAAAGTCCTGACTCACCTTTAGCAACATAACATGAATTCAGATGAATTAAATAATAGGTAGGTATATATAGCGGCACCTATGTCTAGCAGTGAGAATAATGTGAAGTTTCATAAATATCTATTCTGTGATGAAATAGGAAACACTGTAATTATGTTACATTTTACTATAATGTTAACTGTAATAAATTGTATAATTTATTGAACTCATCATTATTTCCATTACAACTATGTCCTACTAAAAACTGGTACACATTGAATACATGTAGAAGAACCATTTCCACATTTTGCTTACTGTTAAACTTATATGCCACCGCCTCTGTAGTTCATGTATATATAGCTTAATAAATGTTCTTACAATAAATTTTGTTTTATTCTTCCCAGTGCAAGCACCTCTAAACTTCCAGTTACCAATAAATACTTCTCTGAGGAAACTGCCTTAGATGATAGCTTAAAAGAATTTCAAGAGAAGAAAAAAAACATTGCAGGCCCCAAGAAGTCAAAGAAAAAACCACCTAAGAAGATAAAGCTTATCAAAGGCCAAAAAGATATATACAGTTTGCTTAAAAATAATGATTTGGTTGCTTATTCAAAGGATTTTGATAATGTGTGTAAGAAATCAGGCCTTGATATTGACTCTGAACAGTTACAATTGGCTATAGCCCTATCAAAATCTATTCAAGATACAAAACAAACGGAGGATGTCATTGAGACAAAACCTTTAAGTTCCCAAGAGAGAACTCTTAAAATTAGAACTACTCTCCAAGAATACGGCTTCAGAGTGCCTGAAGTAAAGATAGCTGATGTAAACAAGAGAAAGAGAAAGAAAAAGGAAAATTATAAATTGCTGACTGCCACCAATGAGGAAAAGCAGCAAATAATAATTCATAAATATTCTAAGATATTGTCAGAAAATGTTTATAAATTAAGTGATTTTACAACAAATATACCAGAAGATACCCTTTATTATAAATCAACCTGTATTCCATACAATGATTTGAAAAGCAATGATATTTTTTATGTAAACTCATTGATCGAGAGATGTACTGAAACAGTAAGCCTTCTAAGAAATTGGTCGGACATACCAGGTAGATGTCCAAGTCCAGTATTTGAGGGCCCTAAACTTGGTTTTCAAGACATTCAATGTTCTGAAGACGAACTTGACATGCTTCTCAGTGGTTCTATTTCTTCTGCACAAGAATTTCTCTACACGAAACTCGGAGAAAGTATTCCAAAAGATGTTTTATCTAGTTCTTATAATCAAAGTTATCCCAATACAGATAGAGATGAAGAAAGGGTTTTAATTACAACAGATTATTATTTAGATAAAACAGTTGAAGAAGTTCAAGCAAATTCAGTAGATCACCATATGTCAGATAGTATATTAGTTAATGAAACTCTTTCTCAACCTCATTTAGTATCTAAAACATGTGATATAACAAAAATAGAGATAACTATAGAAGAATCCCAGTGTGAAAGTGAGAAGAGCACATCGGTATATAGAGAAAGAAGTAATTCCCCAGATTTGTTTGATGATGAAGTTTGTGTTATTGGCATATCAGAGAAATCTGAAAACACAAATATGTTTAATTTTACAGAATCCCATGAAACTATAGATTTAACTCAATGTGTATCAAGTGCAATAAGACCTCACTTTTCCAACAGAACTAGGAGAATTTCAAATGATTTCATGGATCTTACTGAATGTGTTGTTAAAAGCAATTCAAATAATGATGAAAAAATTGATCTTACACAAAATTTTGATGATGATACTATAGTATATGTGCATGATGATAATATGACCATTAATTGTGATGGAACCAATTCAAATATTGTTATTGAAGATGACATCAAAAGTCAGAGAACACCTGTATCTACAATGTTGGAATTTGAGTCAGTAACATTTGGACTGAGCACAATGCCTACTACAAGAAATGAAACAAATGTAGAAGCTATGGATTTAACACAGTCTTCTGATTCTAGTGATGAAATACCAGATTTAATTATAAATGGTGCAGACAACGTAGGCTTAGATAACACTATTGTAATATATGATAATTATAAAACGAATAGTTCTGAAGCCAATGTTCAAGATTTAGTTTGTTTTAACATTACTTCTATGGGTAACAATGCTCAGACATCTTGCATTAACAATTCTACAACTCAGAATTTGAAAGAGGTAGATGTAGTGGATGTGGACGAAAAAGTTAATGACAAAATCGATCTTACCCAAACTGAATTTCTTTATAATGAGCCCACTATCACATCACCTACAAGGAATTATGACTGTCTTGGCAAAAAAGATGATAAATCAATTGATTATGACGAAATGTTCGATAATGTTATAGAAAGTTACTCAAATTATACAAAATCTGGTCGTAGTTCAGATAAAAGAAGTATTACTAGTAACTCTTCAATAGAAAATAAGGAAGCATCAACCAGCAAGCATGCGTCTTGTGAAATTTCTGACCAAGAACTTAATGATTCGATGAAGAAATCTGAAGGTGATAACACTTCTGACGAAAATTCGAATGCTCCACTAGAAAATGATCAAGCTGACGAGTTACCGTTTATTAATTTGATAAGTGATAATAGTAACGAAACAGTGACACCAAGAAGGAAAAACAAGAATTATCATATAATAAAAACACCGAGTAACAATGAATACTTTGTAAAAACAGCTGAAGTGACACCGATGCAGAATTATGAAGCGATGTCTTCCCCTGAAAGGAATAAGGAGCTTGAGAAGTATGGTCTCAAACCATTCAAACGAAAACGTGGTGAGTAGCTTGTAAAAACCAAAATTTATTTAAAGAAATGTATTTTGCATAAAATAAATCATTTAATTGCTGTTCTATGGTAAATTGGTTTAAGAAAAAATATATTTATGAATTTGCAGCTATACAAATGCTCACATACATCTACAACCAAACTCATCCTATAGTAGACTCGTGTATTAACGATTCTCCGTCACCTTCAAAGAAATTTAAAATGTCGAATACATCTCCACCGAAGACCGTTGCTAGTTCTCCAAGAAAATCTCAAGTGAACTAATAATAAAGAAAATCTTTATATACAGACAGACGCAACGCCGCTTATTAAAGACATTAGCTGTGATCCTGAAGATTGGATTTTTCAAAAACGGGAGAAGGCAAAGGTATTTTATGTTGACAAGCAAATCTAAAGAGATTTAGACCTTAATTATTGAGTATTATGGTATAGTTTTACATAGCCTCTATTTCTTTTTAGATTCACTCTTGCAAAGTGCCTTTACACATAGCGTTTCACAATTACGTCACTTGCAGACGGCTATTACGTGAAGCTATACTCTGCTATGAACCAATAAACATTGATGTTGTACATAAAGACTTGGTTGCTATTGGTTACAGATACAACCCTAAGGTAAGAAACATAATATAATATGTAGTACCGAATTCTAAATATCAATATAATATTAGACTATAACACATATGTTAAGCTCGAAATTGTATGAGCACAGACAAGGTATTTCGTCTGTCGTGGGTTCAAGTCCCTACTATTTGAGATCTTTTAAATATAACACTTTAACGCTACCTCGGACGTGACGTTAGTCAATTCTGCAAGGACTCAAACGTCAGTAACTTCAAATACACATAGAAGTTTAACTAATATCTGTCATGTTTTGAACCGTTAATGTTTTATTTAAATCTAATATAGGTGTGCATCAATCTTTCAAGTGCAGTCTGTAAAAATACAAATATTAACCTTTTTGTGCTTATTTAAAAAAAATGTTTATGTAGGTTTAAGAACATGTCTTAAAATTTTCAGGACCTTTTAAAGTTTTTGGACAAAAAGTGCATAACAGTGAAAACCGCTGATAATAATGCGAGAAATAAAAGATGACATTTCAAGTCAAGACTTAAGGATTTCAATGATCAAGGAAGCACTTTATTTTTCTGCAATCTTTGTAAATATTAGGTTTAAAAAAGTAGACACTTACTAAATTATGTAGTTATATAGCTTTAATAAAACGATGTTTAACAAAATAAAAACTTTATTCAACATATATTGTGTATTTAAAATTTTTTCAGATCATACACCTTAATGAATTGAAAGTATCTACTACAGAGAGTATTCATTAATATTCTTATTTTTTGGTGCTCAAATACAAATTACCTTTGAATGAAGATGTTAAGTATTTCTATGAACAAGTTTTAAAATGGCCATAATTATATCAAACTAACACTTGCCTAAAGACAATTAGACTACTTTTTTATACAGCCTCTAAAAAGAAAATGTTTACTGTCATTTCTTAAGCAACCCCGCTTGTTGTATGGCCTGTCTGGTCGCATTGTTTATATGTCTAAATCTGTCTGGACCTAGTTGTATACCACCATACCTAAAATAGTAATAAAAGTACAAAAGTTAGCATTGCCTTAACAAGAAAAAGTAATGTAATTATTTCTTTGATTTATCTGTAGTGGATATATTTTTAAGGGGGGGGCGAAAAAAAAAAAAAAAAAAAACAGGGGGGGAAAAACCCCCCCCCTCCCAAAAAAATCCCCCCTGGGTCCGAAGATACAAAATAGGTTGTAAATCATTATACTCATAGTGCCCTTTTCTCCCAAAATATTAGTAAGGCAAGGTTGAAAATCAAGTTATAGCTTAGTATTATGGTTCTAGCAAGTTTTTGTTCAATCCTAATTTTGTGCTCTTTAAAAATTTTGACTGATGATTACCATCTAGACACCACAACTATTGTGTTCTTTTGGTCCAGAATCTGTAATAAATGCAGCATCCTTCCTCCTGCATGTGTCTCCCCATCGTCATCACAATCTTGAAGTATAGTTATCCCTTTATCTGTCTTCTTTTCGATACGGTATGCATACATATTGTGTGTTGCATTCTGAATCTTTTTATTTTGCTTTAATTTTATTAGGACTGCACTGAAATTAAAGTAAATGTCACAAATACATCTTAATACTGAATTAATATGAATCCTTGTTAATGGCATTTTATTCTAAGAGTAACAAAATAAATCCTGGTACAAAAATATTTTCTTGTCACATTTGCAATTCCATATTAACGCATGACACAAAGAATATATAGATTTTTTCAGTTTGTTTCAATGCATCTAGGATATATAGATAAGTATTGAAAAAATATTTCTTTTTTTGTATATATGTTCACTTACTTAACATCATTTATACCATGTACTTCAGCAGCATGTCCTTGGAATGAACTTTTTCTGTCAATTATAACATCTCCATGTGTTATGTCTGGGCAATTAATTTCAAGCTGTTTTAAACAAACATTTTTGGGTTAAGTACTATAATAACAGATGCATGCTCTTTATAAGTGTTGAAAAATATACCTGTGATAAATCTAATGTCTCTTCAATAACAGGGTTCTGCTTTTTGTCTATTTTTAGTGGCTTAATTTTTTGCAACGTTTCCCTAATCTTTTTCGGCCCACTGGAAAATAACTGTCTCTCCTAGGTTTTCTCTGAAATTTTAACTAAAGATATTAAATGAAAAGATTACCATCAGATAGATATTTATAAAAACATACAAGTAAACTTCATCTAAACTGTGCCGTAGACTTTCTTTAGCTTTTCTATCCATCCAGGGAGCAGAGAATTCGTATTTTGGAGGTGCTTCGCTAGGATATTCAGCTGGCATAGTCACGCTTAAAAGTACTTCATTATTATTGTCCTTAATCTTTACTGTATAAGATCTCAGTTCTTCACTGTCTATCACGAAATCATCTCCATATATCGCTGTTAGAGCTTCCACTTCATCGATCTATTGTGGAGTTAAGAAAAATACCATTATTTATTAGAGAAAGTAGTCAAAGGAAAAGTCTGTTTTTAACATTACCTGTTTCGTAAGGTTATCCTGTTCCATAGTAGGTTAACAATTCAATTATGATGAATAAGTTCGAACATTTATTTCATGTGGTAATTTACAATAAACGTATTTATTATTATTATAGTAATCAAAACATTCATTCGCGACCGTCGTACACAGCTGACAGATAACTGCTGTTTTTGACAGTTTATGTTGGTACAAATGTCAACTGTGCGAAATGTCAAATTATTGTCATTAAAAAGCATAGATAATAATTTTCTAATTGTTTCGAAAAATAAAAGCTGAATCTGAATACTAGATGGCGTAATTTTAAATGTGAATTCATCTTATATTACAAAATACACCGTATTTTTTATATACATATTATGCATTTCTTCGAAATGGGGAAATGGGTGAAATGGTCAGCGGACAACGTGGACTCGCTCCTGCCAAGGGTATCCCCGATAGAAAATAATAATAAAATGCATTTCTTCCTCTCTATTAATTTTTTTGTACATTTATTATTTATTTTATTTAACTTTACATCCTTTTATTAAACTCAATTTCAATCACCGTACATTGATTTATATTTATTTATTTTACAAAATAACCTTGATTACCTTACTTGATTAAGAAGTAAAAAACAAAAGCTTATTGTGCATTACGAATGGTGATCAAATTACTCTTTCCTTGTATTAATCAGAAATTACAAAGTAGTGAGGCACTTAAACGGTTTTAATTAAAGCCACTAGGTATAAAAATTATCGCAAGGTAACGTATACCTTGGTATTAGTTTTGCATGAAATTGCTAACTTTTTGCAATGCATTACCATTTTTCGTGTGCATCGCAAATGAATTTACATACAATCCTCTAATTACGCGACATTAGCACACGTCACTGAATACGGTGACTAATCCGAATCAAATCTATGCGAATATTATAAGGTTATATGTTACTTTGATTTAAGAAGCTAAGTTTAAAAAATCTATCCAAAGTTAACATTTTGCTGCGATAAATAGGTTCTAAGTGTCGAAGAAAACAGTAAAAACGAGTGAACTTTTGGTGTATCTGCACGTATGACTGAATTGTTCTGTTTTGGATTTTGATTTTTTGTTTGGTCATGTTAATTACAAAATAAGTTCTCAAGATCGCCTCAATATTTTTCTTGCGTACGGATTAAAGTGAACACATTTATGTATTGCGTCCGTTTCATTGATCTGCCCGACAGAAACAATGTATTATTTTTCTAGGATTTGAACTCAGGACTGCCCGCGCTCTCGCGTAGGCAACACGTTTAACATTTTGGCTACAAAGGTGGTTGTGTAAGTTTTTCGTTCGGATTACCAAAATTAAAAAGATCGAGAATTAACAGACTATAAGCTCATGTAAAAAGCTATTTTGCTTCTTATTTATGATGAAATACAGCGTTTAGCAAATAAAATACTAGAGGTTTTTGTATTTGGTTTATTGCGCTACCGAAAATAATTTATACGTACCTATTTAAATAAGTACAATAATATACAATTTATACATCTACACTTATTTACAGTAATAAAGTAATCTAACTTTAACTAAATGAAATCGAGTTAAAAATAAGCTTGGAACTATGCAAATTACATCATATTAGGTAGGTTGAGCCTAATCGGATATCGAGGGTACAAGCATATTTGTGCTATGTTACGTTTTGCCACACTATCACAGAATTATTTACAAAATGTACGTGTAGAGTTTTTATTAACATTTTGACGGCGATTAGAGTTTTCAAAAACGATTTTGTACAAGTCTAAACTTCGTTAAAAAAATGTTGTTTATTAGATTTACTTTTTACTCTACAATTAATTAACAATTATACTACTTTACAAGTATTTTAATAATCTCTAACGTTATTCTAACAATAAAAACTTTACTTAATAAATAAAAATATAGTACAATAATTTATCTACCTAGTTTTAATTATAGCTACGGAATGCTAAGAGTATGGACTAATTTATGGCAAAATATATTTTGTATGGCTACATTTAACACCTGTAAAATAAGAATATAATATATATATTACATGTTTGAAATACCAGCAAGAACTTCAAATGATAGGATTTCAATGCCCTATGGCGGATTTTTGAAGTTTCAACGAGCATCATAAAGTTCCACCCGGTACAGTTCTAGCCCTATTTTTCAGAAGTTGATTCCACAGAACAGTCAATAGATCCACCGCTTTGTCCTGAACAAAAACTCGCCGGTGAACTCCGGTTACTCAAAGTCTTCTCACACTCAATCAAGCTACCACTCGGCTGTCTAAGAAAGTTCTGGAACCCGATAGGATTGGTGTTAGCTATCTTATCGGGCTTCTTCAAAAGCTCCTCAATAGAGTAGGGGTTCTTCTTCTTCTCCTTAACCTTCGACTCGTCGACATCGGGTCTATCTGTACTGTCGTCGCTTGCTTCCACAGATATTTGTTCTGACGTCTCCGATTTCACTTCATCCTGCCTTTCTTGGAGGTGTATCGAATAGGGGGGGAGTTTATCTGGATACGGCATCATGACACGTTGCCATGGTGATATGGGGTACGGTTTGAGGAGCTGAGCCTGTTGATTTGCTAGCAGCCAGGTGGTCGCTAAGCGCCTGTCGTATTCGGTTTGTGGTGGCGGTACACGGACTGCTGTGTGGGGGAAGTACGGTGTCTGCTGAGGCAAGGTCGGCGGCATGTTCTTCATGTAGTCCAACATGTTGGGTGTCAATTCGGGTGGTGGATAGGCTTCTGTAAAAGAAAGAGAAGTTTAAACTTTGAATTAAGATTCTGATCAACTGACAATACAATTATACTTTTTTCTTTAACTGGCGGGATATTTGTATTTAAAAACATTAAAATCGCTTTATTCGGAGAAAAACGAAGCTATTTGAACTGAAAATAAGTTATACACTTATACATACAGATCAAGAGCGTAAAACGTACGAAATTGTTCGCTATAAAATGGACCTTCGAGAACCGACTTTGAAACCATAAAGCATAGAGTATTTACTCCACAAAGGTGACATTTGCAAATGTCCACAAATCAAGCAACTATGCGCCTCGCGGTGCCGTTAAACCCATTAATTAGGCTCAAAATGAAATTGCTAATTTAAAATAATTTACGACGGCCATAACTGCAGGACGACAATGTTCCCAATAAATTTGACATCGAAATTCACACGGGCACTCGTAAAATTGACAATGTTATGATCTAAAACAAATGAGCGTCGCTGTCAATAACCCCGGTGATACGAAAGGCGGGAATCTTTGCCACGTGTGGAATTTATTGGTTATACAAGTCTAAGTGGGTTGATTGATTGCGAAATGAAGGATATTAACATAAGAAATCATACATATGCTTTTTAAATTCTTGGTTGGATAAGACATTAGTGGATATTCATACAATGTTTAAATTATCTCTCGTTTAATTAAGAAAAGTATATGACAAGTATATAACTTAGAACGAAGAAATCCAATTATTTTTGTGTGGTTGTAATATATCCAGTATATATATAAATTTAAGGGAATATGTACCTTAAATAAAACAATGAACTGTTTATAACTCGAAATATATTAGTAAGGTTGTAATAGGTAGTTCTCCATGCCAACCTCGACTGCAAAACATTCATTCAAATCCATCGTTCAAGATGTGGTTAAAGAAAACCGAATTAATATACGTGGCGTTTAAAACCAGTAAGGTGTTTTATTAATTATTAATATTTTTCAAATACTATTGTTAAACACTACTATTGTTTATTTAATAGAAATATTAAAAAGTTTACCCTAATTTTTGTATTATTTACTGTTACGTGCATTGTTTTCATAACATTTTATATACGGTTTGTAATATGAGCTTGTATTATTTCGATTAATTCCAACAAAGTTTTATCTTTACGTGCTTCAGTATTTACTATTTGCATTAGAATATAAAATGTAACACGATAGAATAATTAATAACCTACACACTATTTTACACCTGTCCGTATCAAAATACTTTAAGATTTACACTTTACGACTTTTGTTCCAAGTTTGGTAACACAGTTAGGCAAATAAACTGGCTAGTAATTAATTTACGCGGATAATAAAACGTCCAATTATAAAAACACCCAATTTTTATAATTTCGGAGATTTGTATGGTACTATAGGAAATTAATTATTTACTAACAACAAAAAAATAATACCCATTTAAATAAAACACTTTAACGGTTTAAAACGCCAAATATCAACTTAGACGGAAGAGATGTCGGTAGCGTAGCAGTTTTTTAATTTGTCGACAGAGAACCCCTTCAAATTTAATGGCTGCTGCGAAGCATCCGAAACGTCGGGACGTCGTTAAAATAATTTTTAATTAAGTTTAACTAATATATATCGCGTTTTAAACCGTTAAAAGTGTTTTATTTAAATAGTGAAATTATCCTAGTAATAGTATCTAACAAACGTACATACCTAAGAATAATCAAGACTAGTTAAAGAGGTAGCAATATAATGCTAATAATCGACGGGTTGTAGATTCGATTCCCACTAGGTCTATATGGGTATAAGTTATATCTACTTCACGAGTAGATTTGCGTTTCAGTTTCGGTCTGTGGATAACTAGAGCAAAAATAGGTCGATAGCACATCTTATTTAGATAAGGCTGGGGTATTTCTCCTACTATGAAGTCATCAGTACATCGTTATAAGCCGTCAAATATAATAAGATGGCTTTTAGAGAATTTAGTTACATTAAATGGCTGTCCCCATTTTTATGCCGGCAAGTGTAATGTATCCAAACAGATATTGGATTACATGAGCGTAAATTGTGTCACGCGTGTTCATTTCTGAATAATTATGCAAATAAAGAAGGAAGGTGTAAATCTCTTGTTATCTAATAAAATGAATTTAAAAAGTAATTTTTGAACCTTGTCCTAATCAGTGAATATTCATGAACATGTGAGGCTGCTAGAGGCAGAGTGGCCTAATAGAAAAAAAACAATGATTTTCAATATGGAGGAAAATAAAAATGCGCAATTAACTTAGGCGAAAATGAATTTGGCCTATTATTTGTGTAAGAATTATGTTAACAATTTTCGGTCACTGTGCTCTTGTAGATAAGACTTTATAGACTATAAAAATATAAATAAGTCAAGTCATAAAATTTGCAGTTAGGCTAGCTTAGTGTTCAGTTCTGGCTTAGCGGCCTCATATGAAAAAGGAACAAATCTACATATAAAATAGCATACAGGACCTATGTCAGGGGTCTTAGGCTGTGAATTGACAAACATGAAACATTCCACTACAAGGTTACCACAAAAATCGTCTGTCAAAGTTATTGTTGACATTGAAAAGTAACTTTGCTTATAGAGTCACAAATGGCACAAGCACACAAGCATTACATCCTCAATATGCCGTTTCGAACATCTAAAAAATACATACCGTGGGGGTTCCTCGTCTCATCGTCACTCCAGGCTAAACCGCTGTTCCTCAGGATCCTGTTAACTGAAGACACGGAAGGTATGGAGTGTGGTTCGCAGACCCTTGCGCTGAGAAGCCGCTCGCGTATCTCCCACGCGAACATGCCAGGGTTTTCTTGTTTCAGCCGAAGGATCTTCTTCACGACAGTTGGTGTTGCTACTTGCTGAAAAAAATTAAAAAACTTAATTCTAGCCATTGGCTTGTGGGGGTTAAAATAAGAACCAATAAATTATCGTTTTAAACGTTAAATGTGTTTGTTGAGTTATTTTTAAACCTATTAATTTCCCACCGTTGGGTTCAGGTGTCCTCTAGTTTTGGAGCGGGTTTAAGAGCTTAGACCCACCATGCTGTTCAGGCGATGCGTTTATCCATACTTTGACTACTTCTCTAGACTACTAGCAATCCGCTCCGGCTTCGTTCGGGTGCTATGCTGATACTATCTACACTACAGAAAAACTGTGAATTTTGTATATAAAAACCTTACTCTTGAATCACTCTATCTATTAAAAAAACTGCTCCATAATCAGTTGCGTAATTATAAAGATTTTAGCGTACATAGGGACAGAAAAAGCGACTTTATTTTATACTATGCAGTGATGTAGCCAGTACTTATTAAAATGTGTGTCACATCTATATATCATACATCTTTGCGGCATAAAGTGCAGATGCCAGATTCCAATGACGCGTCCACTTGATGGCTGTTTAATAATGACATACATCGCTGTTTGTTTTACCGAGAAACGTCTCATTTAACGAACGGGGAAGTAAGGGTAATTTGTTTTTTCGTCCCGCCTCTCGCGTAAAAACCATAAGCGTAATTGTTTAAAAGCGTATTGCTCGAATGCGAGTAAAACTGATGCCGGGCTTTTTATCAAGGTCTTATTGTAAGTGTCACAACAAATATGCCGCTTTAATTTATAAGTAAAATTATAAATAATACTTATTTATTAATGATTAAAAATACGCTTTAAAAAGTAGGATATTAAAAGTAGGACGTTTTGTGGCTAACCATCTGGGCGGTGGTGTAACACTCAATGTTTTTTTTATAAATTTTTAAGTTACTATAAACAATTTATTTTAGTTTAACGTCTGTTCTTTTGACAGTGCTTAATTGTTTTCATTCTTTGAAGTAAATACAGTCTATAGTTTACGCGAGTAGTACACATTTAAATAAAACACTTTAACGGCTTAAAACGCGATATATTAGTTATACTTATTTGAAAATGATTTTTAACTTCGTGCCCGCCGGTTCGGATGCTTTGGTCAGCGGCCACGGCTTGAACGGTCTGGCCACGAAGTTAAAAATCATTTTCAAATAAGTTTAACTAATATATCGCGTTTTAGACCGTTAAAGTGTTTTATTTAAATTTTTTGAAGTATCAAAAAAACCTTAATTTTTCAAGTTTTATTTGTGTATTAAAGTTTGTTAAAGTTTTGATTTGTATAACAATGGACAATCCTTGAAATTCCTATGAAGAAGGTTTTGTTTATGTTCATAGGTAGGTAGTTATGAAATTGGGTAGAAACATATAATTGCTTGAATGCGTAAAAGTCAAAATAAAGACAGGTGTTTGAAATGTAAACTAAATTCGAATTTCGAACAAACCACATGTTCTAAAATCCATTAGAATTATCTAAAACGCAACTTCCACGCAAGCATCAAAACATAATTATAGCCTTTATGGTCTGTCAAAGATAATGTGTAAATAGTAGCCCAGGAACCACTTGGATTTCGAGGCGTTAATTTTGGCGGGAAACCAGCAATTACGCCATTAGACGCTCGATCGATATCCTATTGATCGCCGACTTTTTTTATGGGAACTTCTCCCTCTAAATCCAGGTTCGGGATACGTGCAATTTGCTAAGTCTATGATTAATTCGATGTGCTTAAATATTACGTGTCAAAATATTGCTTCTTTTTTTAAGAAACCCCAATATTTTAGTTTTACGTTTCGTGTGAAAAAAATGTTAATATTTCTTTTAAATTGCTTCGTTTTATACAAGTAGTGGGTACATGTAATGTTATTACATTTATAGTCATACGTTAATAAGTTTGAGCCCATGAGAAATTATAAACAGACATTTTACAATAAGTACTACTTTCCTAGTCAAGTGTATAATTTTTTTCTCGCAAAACAGGTTGACTTTGTGCTAGTTTATACTAATATATAAAGCTGAAGAGTAAGAGCATATTGAGGAAGGCTATAGGCTATAAAACATAGCGCTGTACGTGTACAAAGTCGCTGATTCAGCTAGTAATCTAATAATCTACGCGATTTTATTTTAAGCTCTAAAATATGACACCATTGTCACAATAGCGCGTGTCAGCCAACAGTATGAAACATTGGAATTTTTCATTATACTAGATATCTTTAGAAGCCAATAAATGAAATGAAAGTCCGTGCGAACGCGCAGATGTTAATAATGACTCGCTTAGTTCCCCGGCTTTCCTCATTAGTTTGCGTTTGAGTGTTGCTATATCAGAAAATTGACTAGTGACGGCTCTATCTTTTAATTTGATGGTCACTTATTTTTAGGTAAGTGGTTAGGGCGCTTTCATTATGTAAATGTTAAGTACGCACGTAATAATCTAGCTTATATTGACTGTAGTAGATTACAAAGCTCGTATCTGTAGTTCATAATTTAGGCGTATTCGATTTCATACGAATAGTCTTATTCATTAGAACGTACAGTAAAAATTGAAAGTACTTAAAAAAATAAACATAGATATTTGTATCTTTTATATGGATGCCTTTTTCGACTTTTTTAAACATTAAACTTTATAATAAAATTAAGCAGAATATAAACTTAATGGTTCATCCATTTTATACATGATTATGTTTTCATTAAATTTGACTTTATTCCTTCAACTCTATAAATTTAAGTGTCGGCGGCGGCCGTCCATCTTGCAAGTTAACCTTAAGATAGACTTATAGTGTGGCGGACATTTTTGTAGATTATTAAAAGAGTAATCATTCTTTCATACATATTTATGGATACCTTGGAAGGTTTTCGCAGCAACGGAAGCAAGGATAAATACTTTTTCTCGTTTTTTCCACATTTCTCGCTGTTTCTTCGCTCCTATTAGTTGTAACGCGATATTTAATGACCTATAACCGCCTTCCTCTATAAATGTTGTTATATATGTCTATAAATTTCTATAAATGTGTTCAAATATACCATTTTAAATAGATTATAATGTATATTTCGTAACTGTTCTCTATGTCCAATAAAAAATAAAACGTGTAAACCATGAACGCAGTTTCGAAATTCGAAATAGCGGTCCATTTACACGACGATTGATCGTTGCACATTCTAGACCATAGACAATGCAGTAAGTGACGTCCACAGTAGATAAACAAAAGGTAAGTAAAATCAAAATGACCCGTTACCAGCATCACCGATATTACGGTATGAAAGATCGATTATGAAAGCGGTAACGCGGTAGCATTCCGTGACGATAGGTTCCGTACGCGACGCTTTTTGCGCGGGAACATCCATCATACCTTGACACATCCAATATAAGTTTTTGCCGCCACGCAACAAGATGGCGCTGTAACTGTCCACAGACGCGTGCACGATTAGCGTTTCTTATTACCGATTTCTATTAGACTTTCCACCTTCCTGATGGGGTGAAAGATAATTTGCCGGGGCGTGGGACCGTTGCTTTAATGGCGGATTGATTCGATATTAATTCGAGGGAGGAAGAGATTCTCCGCAGTTAATATTGGCTTAATGGTATTGCAGGTGCATTGCTTGTCTAGGTGACGGCTTTTTTACAATGATTGCGACACCGTTATGAGACGAATGTCACAGGTGATACCACAGATAAATTATCGTCATAATTAACCTTCTTTCTGAATCAGACATTATTTTTAAACCAAACTTAATTTTCGATTACTTAACCATCGATCCACGTTGTTCATTTCTTCCCGTTTTATTAGTCACAAGCTATCTCAAAAGCTAGCCCAGTCAAGCCTTAATCCTAACAAATGCTATGGCGTTTTATTAGCTCTAAGTTCTTATTACGTTCACAAATGCGTCTACAGAAGTTGTAAATATAATTCACCGGATAAAGGAAGAAGCAAGCAAGCAAGCAAGCAAGGTAAACCGAGCGCGACAACCATACTTCTATTCATAAAGGAAGAAATAGAGATACATTCGATAAACAATTCTGAAATAGTTTTGTCATATAATATTTGAGGACGAAATGTCCTTCTTATAATATAGGTAAAGAAAATACTTTTGTCTTAGGCCATGAATTAAAAAAATACGCACAGCTGAACTTGAGCAAAAAAGTCATCATACACGACAATTGGACAATAAAAAATTACAATATGTATTTCAATTACCCTTAAGTTTAAGATTATTATTTTTGCTATTTTTTAAGTCAAAAAATCGTAGGCTTAAAAAACATCAGTAAAAAGTACGCCTATTCATCAATTCTCCAGCATAATAACAGTTTCCGTGACACTGGTAGGATTTGCACAGATAATATTCACTTTATGTGGCTCAGAGATTATATTGTCAATATTATTACTCGCCTCTTAATACCGTAAAGCTGCTTCATAAAACATATTGGAAATACACGATGTTGGGTTTATCTGTTGTTGATTCCCTGCATAGATAGATATTAAATAGGAATTGATACTAAAAAATAATGCGAAACATTAAAAATATAACAATAAACATATTTTTTAAATAATAAGTTTAAATGTAAAAATTATCCATACTTAAAAATATAATAACATATTATATTATGTATCGGTATTAAGAAATAATAATTCAATAAATAAATATGAAGAAGAATTAAATTGATTTAATATCATAAACCACTACTGGCAGTTCTTGTGTCTTAATTCCTTAAATTAAAACTTACGTATAATTTAAAACGGTTTAAAACGTAAAATATATAAGTTAACTTACTAACAATTTATTTTAACTACGGCCCGACGTTTCTAAAGTTTTGCAGCAGCCGAGGTTACAGGGGGCGCTCTTCGCGCGACCACGTTTTAAACCGTTAAAAGTGTTTTATATAAATGAGTTAATCTTATTTAAATTAATTGAACGAGATCTATTTTTAATGGATTTTCGAATCTCATTATTTTCAGCAAACCGCAGACGATACTGCGTATCAAGATCTCGCATGTCACATTTAAAAAG